CATCCTTCAAGTGACCGACCACCACAAGCAGCAGCCACCTGCCACCTCCAGTTGAATCTATGCTCTGCAAATTGTTAGTGACCTCAGGTTGTACCCAAATCTTGTAATTTTAAAATAACATTACACATACCAGCCCCTCTTTCACAGTGAGAAAGGTTTCCTGTAGCAAGGGAAGAAGAAAGGGAAGTGAGCAGCTAATTTGAATGTTGTTTTACCATCTGGTTGGGATTAAGGTCTGAGCAGGTCAGCTGTGGCCCCATAAATGCCATCGTTGCCCCACCTGCTCTCAATTTGACACCGTTTATGCCCTCAGTTCCATCCACTTTCAGCTGAACATCTCCTGACAACGGGCTGCTCAAGTGCCAGGGAATAGCTGGGAGTGATTCTTTCATCTTCAGGGGTTGTCCACCAGAGATATTTAGTGAGGTTAATCTGGATCAGCTTTTGAAGACAAGGCTTAAACAGCAGGAGGTTCCCAAGCAGCCTTAACCCAATTAAGCACCCTTCCCTTAGGACTGGAGGCCAGCTAAGCTTGCATTAAAACCCATCAAGTGTCCTGTTAATCAGGTACACTTTAACATCACAGCTGTGGTCATCCCAGCGGAGGCCACCAAGACTGGAGACACCTCGTCATTTTTCACCTCCTTTTGTCACTTTGGTTATTTCTGCCATTACTTTGGGCAGCGAGATGAAAGGCCCAGCAGCTCAGCCCTTAGCCACTCTGCTCTCCAGGCTCCCCTCTGGTTTTTCTTTTCACATTAACTATGTCACACACCAGACTCTCATTGACTAACTGCCCGAGGGGGACCCTTGCTGAGTGTTAATTGCTGTTAATGAGCTGTTGCTGCCTTCCTTCCAAGAAAATTACAGCAGCACTCAGGCTGTGTAAGAAGATGGCAGTCTGCAGAAAATCAAGGCAAATTCTACTTCAGGCCCTCACTTTACACCGCCAGAAACTCCTGGAATATGCTTTAAATCAGGATGAGACTGGGTGAAGGATAACAGTCGGCAGCTCTCCTGATGTTGCCTGTCCCCTCGTTCCTCGTGTGGTGGGTCAGGGTGAATGATAAATCCCTGACTTGCTTCCCATGGATCCTGTTGGGGTGCCTTGCAGGGATGTCTACACACAGCTCTTCACCAGAGTTCTTGCTCAAGTCTCCCTCCAGCCACAAGTGCACAGTCTCACTGATGGGTTTTGCACGTGGGTGATGGCCCAGCTGGCTCAGAGCACAGCAGGGCTTGTCTTGGCCCATGTGCTACCAGAGGGGGTGCAGGAAAGACCCGACAAGATGCCTGAATGGCCACTGCCATCATTTCAGCATCATCCCCTACCCCAGAGCTGGGGGCAGCTCCTGCCTCAGCTACAGTTGGCTGCGTCCCCACCAGAGTTTTTATGGAATCTTAGAATGGTTTGGTTTGGAAAGGACCTTAAAATTCGTCTTGTTCCACTCCTGTGCCATGGGCAGGGACACCTTCCACTACTCAAAGCCCCATCCAGCCTGGCCTTGAACACTTCCAGGGATGGGGCAGTCAGAGATTCTCTAGACAACATGTGCCAGGGCCTCACCACCCTAACAAGGAAGGATTTCTTCTTAATAGTTAATCTAAACCTGCCCTCCTTCAGCTTAAAGCCGTTTCCCCTTGCCCTGTCACTACATACCCTTTTAATAATAATAATAATAATAATAATAATAATAATAATAATCTTCTTTCCAAAACTCATTTATTTCCCTTGCTAAGCATGGGTGAGGGTATATGGCAGCACCAGATGTGGCCTTGGAAATATTCTGAGATTTCCAATGGTTAAAAAGCACTGGAGCCAACCACTGTTCCTCAGGCTTTTCCCTCTGGTTTGCCTCCCTCTAAGCTGCAGCCCAGGGGAAGGGGATTTGAAATGAGGGATGTGTTAGGATGGTAAAAGCTTTTGCATGAGTGCTTAAGGTCGTTCAAGTCAAGACAAGGTACTGAGCCCCTTCACAAAAATGGACTCAATCTGTCTACAGTGCTGGCAAGAAATTGCCCGGTGTCTCGCTCTGACTTTCTCATTTTGATTATTTTTGGCCATACTAAGAAACACTCGAATCCAAACCACTCTTTGTGAGAGCCTTGAAACGAAATAAAGCGGACATGATTTAATTCATGAAAAAAGATCCTGAGATTTTTGCCTTGCCACCTTGATCTGAAAGGAGATGCAGAGAGCACCGTCCGCAGCGGGGGTTCCCTCTCCCCCAGCTCTCCCAAAGTCTCAGCTCCCTCCCGGGCTCTGGCACAGGGATGAAAAAGCAGAGGCGTCTCGGGGAGCAGCAGCCAGCTCGCTCGCTTGCTTGCTCTCCTCCAGTTACAGACCCAGAGCTGTTGTTCCCATCAAAGCACCTGGCTCCCATTGTGCCGCCTTTCCGCAGTTTGTTAAATTTTATTTCGCATTATTCCTCCCGTTTTGGCTTCCACCCTAAAAATCCTTCTGCAACTTCGCCAGCTGCCCCGCTCCTCATAAATGTTCATTTAAGTATAATACCTTGCACTCGCTCGGCAGGAGCTCTGCCTGAACAAAACCCCTCAGGCTGAGGTCTCCTGCTCCTGTATCTTGGGATTCATCCTCCAGCTCTGGGGGAACACCACCTGCCTGGCCGTGCTCAGTCTCAGCTTGGTTTTTCCCAAACCCAGTTTCCCAGTGGTTTTCCCACAAACATGTGTATTCTTCCCCAGGAAGAATAAGAAGAGTACCCTCAGCAGAGCTGAGCCCAGGGAGGGTGGGTGTCCACCAGCATCACCAGTTTGGACCGTGCTTTGAGCAACCTGGTCTAGTGGGAGGTGTCTCTGCCCATGGTGGGAGGGGTGGAAAAAGATGGTCTTTAGGGTCCCTTCCCACCCAAACCGCTCCACGACTCCTTTAATTCTGTGATCTCTGAAGAAGCCGGCCCAAGGCAGCTCAGAAGAGCTCAGTGGCAACAGGATTCTACTCATGCCCCCACATTTCTCAAATGCCAGGCACTTCAGATTTCGTTTTTCAGAGCTTAGCCTACAAACAATCAATCTTGTCTTCTGAGCAGACCAATGAGGTCTGCGGAAAGAAAATTGCAAAAGATTTGTTATTTCCCTAGTGTTCCCATTTTCCCATTCCTTTCCCACAGAAGCAAGGTTTTTGTTTTGTTTTGTTTTGTTTTCTTTCCCAACTTTCAGGGGAAAATCCTGACAAATGGAAGCCCTGATTCATACCAGCAAAAATTTGGCCTTTTTTAATTTAAGGTGGAGCCCTTCTTGTCTGAGGATGAAAACATTTCTCTAAACGCACACGGAGGGCAAGGACTGAGCCTTGGCCCTGCCAGAGCCAAGGCCAAGTGGTGTTGGGTGCTGATGGCCACCATGAGGGGAGAGTTGTTGTGCAGCCAGGAGGGCTGTTCATCTCCTCCATGCTCAGGAAAGCAGCTCTGTGCTGGCTCACAGCATGGGAAACAAGAGGACAGGCAGGCACAGAGCGGCAATGGTGGCTGTCACCACAGAGAATTCCAGAGGTGAGAAAACATCTTCTGGGGGTGTTACTCAGGCAGAGACACAGTGTGATGCCTCCCTCTGTGGCTGGGATGCATTGGAAGAAAGGATCCCCATCCTCCTCCTATATTTTCTCAGACAACTGAAGGATGGGTGAAAAAGGCTCAGGAAGGGAGGAGGGGAAGCCCTGCTCCTCTCTATCACCACCACCCAAACAGAGACACCTGCTCCCCTCCTCCCTCCATGTCCCTCCTGGGAGGAAGCAGAGCGAAGAAGCAGGTTTGGAAAAAAAGGATTTATGGCCACAGCCTACCTGCTCACACAGCACAGGGAAAAAAACTGAAGGAGAAAGATCAAAGGAGCAATGTGTCCCTAAAACCCTCCCTTGCAGCATTTCTCCATGGATGCTGCCATCTACACCACACCGCTCCCGCTCCGGTGGGCACCTCCACCCGGCACTGGGAGCCGGCAGCAGGGAATGAGCAATTTTCTCTGACAGCGAGACAGAAACGGCTTAAAAAACAAAAACAAAAACAAAAACAAAAACAAAACAAAACAAAAAAGAAAAAGCCATGACTTTTTTTTTCCTTCCCTGTCTCCGGCCAGAAAGTACACCTGGCAGAGCCCCGAGTGCTGGAAGCCATCAGTGGGGCCGTCGGCACTTCACAGGCTCTGGTGAGGAGGGCAGGTCACCGACTGCACCGAGGACACTGTCCCCAACACCCCGGGGTCCCCCAGCATGGGGGGTGGGGGTACCCTTCTCCATCCCGCCCCAGCTGCTGCCTCCAAAGGGCCCTGAGGAGAGCAAGGGTCCCCTAGCACCATGTGTTGATGCTCCATGGGTTTTGTTCCATGTGGATTTTACAAAGTATTTTGCACCTGCAGCACAGAGTAAAGCCACTACTTCCTACTCCGACCAAGGGAATCTCCCTATGGGCATCACTCCCCGGGGCAGGATTTGAAAAGGTTCATGTACACCCACACACAGCACCTCACATCTACACCACGACCTCCTTCTCCCCTCTCCAGCACTCAGGCAAAGGTATTTTGAATACCAATTAAGAAATCAGGCTTTAGGCATATCCAGGGAAGTTGGGGAAGGGGCAGCAATCCCCCTGCTGCATCCTGTGTGTGGGATCAGGGTAAGCAGTATCCTTTGCTCAGGGCCACTCTGCTCACCCTGAGGATGCCCACAATCCCTCTGGTATGTAGCCAGAGGCTGGCAGCCCTGCACTGGGAATCTCTTTGCAGGGGTTTTCCCCATGACCCCACACTCATTTTAGGGCAGGGGGAAAGACTTAACGACAGGGCTTTACAGAGGGGGTGCTATGTCACATTGTAGGATTTGCTTCCTTTGATGACAAGCACACCTATCCCACAGGAAAACACCCCTCCGCCTTCCCACACCGGGAAGCCACTGATTGGAAGCGATACCCAGGTGCAGAGCGGGTGTTGGGGGGAGGGTTCACCCCATCCCTTGACCCACCACCCCCCATAAGCCCCACACCTACCGATGGGGCGAGTCAGGGTCGAAGCAGGTCCTGGCCACGTCGGTGGCCCAGGGGTCGCAGCAGTCGCCGTCATCGAAGTCGTCCAACACGTTGTTGCACTCCATGTGGCAGACGCCGTCGCGGCGCTTCCAGGAGAAGCAGCGGCCGGGCCGCCGGCAGTCCCCGCCATCGTAGCCGGTGAGGGGGTGCTCGCACTCGGGGTCGCAGCGCTCGTTGCCCACCTTGCTGGGCTCGCAGCCCAGGAGGACGGCGCGGCGGCGCAGGGAGGAGTTGTGCACCTCCAGCAAGCTGAGCTGCCAGGAGATGTTGTAGGGCCGGAAAGCCTCGCTCAGCGCCCGGTGTTGCCGCCTGATCTGCTCCCAGCTGACCGTCGGCCGCCCGCCGTCGTCCTCCGCCAGGTTCACCACCCGGTACCGCACCACCTTCCAGCTCCGCAGCGGCCAGTGCCGGTTGTAGTGGGAGACCAGCTCCACGTTGTCGCAGGCAGTCTGCCCGCACCCGGGGGGGCCCAGTGGCCGCAGGACGGGAGGTGGTGGGGACAGCAGCACCCACTGCTGGGGGAAGGCGCCCTCCCGAAAGGGCACCCAGCGTTCCTCCGGGGTGGCGAAGCCCGCGGCCAGAGCCAGCCCTGCCACCCCCTCGGCCACTTCCTCTAGGAAGGGACGCTGGAGGTGGGATTGGGGCAGGGCACCACGCCACAGGGCCAGCCCGGCCAGGTGTCCCCGGAAAGTGTGTGCGGTGCCCCAGGCGTCCCCCCCCAGCAGCAGCGTGCGGCAGGAGGACATGAAGGCGCTGTGCAGGGGTCCCTCCTGCCCGCCGGCACGGCCGACCCGCACCCCGTCCACGTAGAGGGCCATCCAGCGCCCGTCATAGCTGGTGGCCAGGTGTGTCCACGCCTCGGGGCGGTAGCGGTGGTAGGAGGTCACCTCGGTGGCGGTGGCCGCCCGGTCCGTGCGGAGGGAGAAGAAGAAGCGGGCGTCCTTCTTCCCACCGAGCTGCAGGGCACGGATGCCCAGTGCCCAGCCCCTGTCGCTGGCCGTGTGCGAGCAGTTGTCGAAGACGCCTGTAGTGAGTCGGGGATAGGGGTGGAGAGAGAGGAGAGCTGGTGAGGACCCGAGAGCATCACCACTCCTCCCCGGAGCACAAACTGGGTCCTTGGTGGTGGGTAAATGAAGGTGGGAAGAGGCTGGGCAGTGGGTGCTGCATCAGGGGGACACCACAGCCCCCATTCAAAATCATTTGGGTGAGTAGGTGGAGTAGCCAGGAGGGATGGCAGAGCCAGAGAGTCGGGATGGAGAGGGGAGGAAGAGCATGGATGGGAGGAGAGGCCGAAGAGCGAGGTGTTTCTGAGCTGCTCTCTGTAGGAGTGCTCTGGCAGGATGGGATTAGAGGCTAAGCTTTTTATCTGCGGGCCAAAGCTTTTAAGAATTAGAGCACAGCAACCCAAAGCAAAACAGCCTCCTCCAGGGACTGCTTCCCCAACAGCCTCCAGGCAGATTTACAGCTCTCCTTTACGCTCCAGTTTCCCTCCCAGTCATGCATCCAGCGCAGGCGGGAGAGGGTCCGAAGGGGATGCACTGCCTGGCAGGTACACTCCTCAGTCCCTGAGGTCACCTGAGCATAAATCCATCCCCAGAAATAGCTTCAGGCTCAGCCTCTCACTGTGTGCCCAGGTGTGTTGCGAACCTGTTTTAGGCTGGGCAAGACCTGAAGTTGTGCTGACTTTCCCCCAAACTCAGGCTGCTGAGGAACCTCAGCCAAGAACTGGAGGCTTGCAGGCACTGAGTGCCCTTGGGGATTGGTGGCCATAAGACACTTAAATACTGGCAAGGGGAAATGGACCACTCATTGCTTGAAATAAATGCCTCTGGGTTCCTAAACCACCAGAGCCAGGATGTTCATAAACATCACTGGCTAAGATGGATGAGCTTGAAGTCACTCTTTGAGCCCCACCAGCAGCATCTTCTGGGAGCCCCCTGCTCTCCCATTCATCACTCCAACAAACAGTGTCCCCATGCTGGTGAATCCTGCTTCCATGCCCAGAGACCCTTTTTATACTCCTGCTGTGGCATTTCTTATTCTCCATCCTGCTTTTCCTTGCTACCTGGGTTCTCCTGTCCCTCACCATTCCCACTGCAGGCACTGCCTGCCCATCTCTGTGGCATCAGGGCATCGTGGGCCAAAACAAAGCACTCCTGTCCTGCCCTGCTGTCTCACCTTTCCCAGAGGATGCTCAACAAGACACCGTGGGGAAACTGTACCTGCTGCCAGGATTACAAAGAAGCCAGCAGAGAGAGGCAGAGGTGTAGAGGAGCAGGAGCTCCAGGAGGAGCAGGAGCTCCTGGCTCTCATCCAGGTGATGTGACTGAAGCCAGGTTACCATGACCCCACGTCTCCCCTGCCAGCCCTCATAAATGTGGCCGGCAAAGGTCACGTCAAGCCCCGTTGCACCCCAGGAAGCTGCACCCCTCCCTCCATCCATCACTTTCACTGAGGGCGAGATGGGTGGTGGCCTCTAAAGCATCCCACGGTCGTAACCACCCCGGGCACGGATCCCTGCCACTGCTCACTACAAAGGCAGCCACGCACAAAGCCTCCGTGGGCGGATGGGCTTTGGCCAACTCTTGTTTTCCTGTGGATTGTGAAAGGGGAGCAGAAAGACCAGGGGAAGCTGAGACAGGGAGAAGCCAAAAGGCGGGAGGCAAGCAGAGGAGCCTTGCAGGAGCAAGAAGGAGAGTAATTCTGGGCTGGGTGCTGGTCGAAAGGTGCCGAGGCCTGCAGGCTCGAAAGCCAACTTTTGGTCCTCGCTGGGGTTGGGGAAACAGGGCTTGGTACCTCTTCTCTTAGGAAAACTCACGCATTTCACCTTGAAATGATTCAGAATGCCTCAAATTTGATAAAACACTAAAAAATACAGGACAAACAGTGTCGGTGGGAACAGCCTCTGGGGTGAGTGTGAGGTATCATCCTCCCAAACCAGTGCTGGAGCCAAGCCACACCTGGCAGTGCCTGGTGATTTCAACACCGGCCAAAAGAAATTTCAGTGAACCTAAAACAAAGTATGAGGACTCCATCGAAGTCCTCAAAGGGACTTCATCCAAGTGATGTAAGTAAGGCCAAAGTCAGCTCTACAACAGTAAAGTAGCAGCTGGTGCTTCCTAGACATGGCTGGGGATGGCATCTCCACTGCAGTGGCAGTAAAAGGAGCATGAGGCAGAGCAGCACATCCCACAGCTCGGAGCCACAGCAGAATGGCAAAGCAAAAAGGTCCAGCAGCAGGTTCTGACATCCCCTGAGGGCTTCCATGAGAAATCATCAGGGGAGCAGTTTCAAGACCCCAGAATTTGCCAAGGAGCTTGGTATTTTGTCCTGGGGCAAACCACCAGGAAGGGAAAGAGCTGTTTGTAGAAGAGGTGTGAGGTACTTCCTCAGCCCCTGTAAATGCAGCCCCTGCCTCCTAACTCTCAGATGGGAAAGGTTTGTGCTGTTCTAACCTGGTTTGTGCTGTTCACCAGTGCCTTAGGGCGATGACTTTGGGATTTGAAACAAGAGTTGTTTGCAACAGCACAAAAAAAGTTGAAGAGAAGGATATCTGTGAGGGAATGTGTCCCATGGAGAAAAAGCCTCCAAAGAGATCAAGTATGCTGCTTTGTAAGGACCACACTCCAAGCAGCTTCTCCCACTGAGGCCAGGAGACTTGCAGCACAAGGAACAGCTTTCAGACATGCTTTGAGACAGATAATGAGGAAAATTGTCTGCTAAAGCTCTGGAGGGTCTGACACAGACCAGAAGCAAAAGACAAACATCAGCCTGGCACAAAGGGGAATCCTTTGGGGTTCACCAGAAGCAGAGCAGGTGTGAATGGAGGGAAGACAAAAAAAGTGGGAAAAGAAATGGCATCACATGAAAGGACTATCTTCTGCTGCCCAAAATGAGAAGGACGTGGAAGAAGGACCACCGTCCTTCCCTGACAGTGTCTGTGGCAGGGTGCTGGTGTCATACCCCAGCAGAAATCCCCCCACGCAGGAGGGGTTAAGAGGGATGAACAGCCCCATCCAGGGTGGCCCTGAGGCAAAATGTGGCATCTGCTGGAAAAAAAACGGCAACCCTGAGCCTTCAGTCGAAGCAGCAGCCACACCAGATGACAGGACAGCTTACTTTCAATGGTCAGAGCTGCTCAGCCTAGCCTCGCTTCCCAGGCACTGATGCTGAGATATGCTCAGCTCTGCCCTGCTTTCCTCCTGCCTTCCCTCACACACAGACACCTGGAGCATCTCCAGCTCCTCCACAGCTTTGGACCACCCCACACTCGGTCCCCTCTGTCTCGACGGAGCAGGAGCAGCAGATCAGAAGCAGACTCAAACCTGCCGAAGGGCTGGCAGCTGCTTGCATCACCTGCTCACACGAAATGCCAGCAGCACTGGCCTGTCCCTCTTGGCCACCGCACCCGGTCCCAGCTGCAGGGAGACGGTGGGAAGCGGACAGTGACTCAGGCAGCCGGAGGTGCCTGGGGCTGACTCAAACCCTGGAGCGAGGAAGCCGGGGGATATTACCCAAGTGAATGCCAGGGCTCACGGGTGGTGCTTTCAGCGCTAACGACTGTCCCACCCTCCACAAGGAAATTAAAAAAAAAAAAAAGAAAGAATAAAAAATAATAATCGTAAAAAATTGGAAATGTAAAAACCAACACCTGCAGGCCAGACCTCCAGATGCAAACAGCTGTGCTGCTGATGAGATGGCTGGGAAGTGCAGTCTCTGCATCCCAAGCTGCTGCCTGCTGGCAGGGAGGCAGCAGGGACCCAGGTGGGAAGGCAGGCAGTGATGTGCACGCTAGGTAGTTCGGTCATTTCCTTGTCCACAGCAGCTTTTACCCTCTGCCACCAGCCTCCAGCCCACCCCTCCTACCTCTTCTGCAGCACAGGTGCCATTATCACCCTAATATTGGAGAGATAAATGTGAAAGGGGCCAGGCAAAGCAGAGCGAGGTTCAGTGCAGTGATCACAAGCAAAGGTAGAGTTAGCATAGAGAGGGGGATTCCCCAACCGGCCAGCTTGGCTGGGGCAGCACAGAAACACAGCACAGAAACACGGGACCCCAGACATCCCGTGGGACCGGTACATCTTGGCGCTCCCATCTGTTCTCAGCCCTTCCCAGCATCCCTGCACTGCCCTGCCGCGCCTGTACCCAGCCACAAACACCCGTCCTGGCACGGCTGCACAAAGCACCAGTGCAGGAGCCACTCCGTGCCTGTGTGCCAGTCTGTCTCCTCAGGCCCCCCGTAGGATCGTTTAGGTTGGAAAAGGCCTTTAAGAGCAAGTCCAACAGTCAGCCCAGCACTGCCAAGCCTGCAACTAAACCAAGTCCCTAAGCACCACATCTATACATTTTTTGAACACTTCCGGGGATGGCAATTCCACCACTTCCCTGGGCAGCTTGTTCCAGTGCCTGACAACCCTTTAAGTGAAGCAATTTTTCCTAATATCCAACCTAAACGTCCCCTGGCACAACTTGAGGTAATTTCCTCTTGTCCCATAGCTTGTTATTGGGGAGAAGAGACCGCTACAAGCGCTACGACCTCCCGTCAGGTAGTTGTAGAGAGCGATAAGGTCCCCCCCGAGCCTCGTTCTCTCCAGGCTGAACACCCGCAGCTCCCTCAGGCGCCCCTCGCAGGACTCGCTCATCACTTGCCTGCTCCTTAGCTTGTGGGGGCGAGGGGGCAATCCCCGGTACAACGAGCCCCTGGGGCCGCCCCCCGCCCCGCGGAGCCCTCGGGGCCGCCGCCCGGAGGGGCCGGGCCGGTCCGTGCGTGCGGCGCGGCTGCCACCGTGCGGCCACCGCCCCGGGGACCCGCCAGAGCCCCGCACAGCCCCGGCGTGCCCGCAGCCCCGGGAGGGGACACCGGGGGAATGGAGGGGGGACCAGGGTGAGCGTGTCACCCAAAGGGACCTTCCAACTCCAGTCGAGGCGAGAGGGAGAAACTAGATGGGAGCTGGGACGGCGGGGCGGGGGGGGGGGGGGGGGCGGGCTGGGAGGACGGGGCGGGTGGGAACAGAGGGGAGGGGATGGTTTAGGGTTTGGTCTCAAGGGAAGGAGGAATATTCTACGCCCGCGGTGCTGAGGACACGGGTGTGGGCGCGGGGTGTCACCTGCCGGAGCGGGGAAGGCAGGGAGCCCCGCGTGGGGAGGCTGGAGGAGGAAGGGGGGGGGGGGGGGTCGCGGGATTGCCGGGTCCCCCATCCCTCCCTGCCGGGGTTTACCTGCGATGATGGCCGGGTTGCTCTGTCCGCCCTCCGCCTTCACCCAGAGCTCCAGGGTGAACTCCTCCCGCGGGACGGCGGGCAGCGCCTCCGCCCGCGCCGCCAGCTGCTCCCGGCCGCCCGAGAAGTACAGCGCGGGCAGCTCCCGGGGGGAGCCCGGCACCTGCGGCTCCCGCCCGCGCC